ACTATATACAAACAATACTACACTATACGTACACAAGTATAGAACTATAACGGAGTGCATTATATAATACACCTACAGGTACATACGATGCCTCTCATACTACACTACATACCTACAATACTACACTATACGCATACAAGTATACAACGGGGTGCATTGTATTATACACCTACAAATACATACGATGCCTCTCATACTACACTATATACAAACAATACTACACTATACGCATACAAGTATACAACGGGGTGCATTATATAGTACACCTACAAATACATACGATGCCTCTCCCACACTACACAGCCGTACCTCTTGGAACATTTTCGTGCCCAGGACAGACTTGGGGACCTTGACCACGTACTGCAGCTGTGGGGCCTTGCCCTTGGTGTGTTTGGCGCGGGTCTTCATGTGGGTGGAGCTGAGCATCTGCGAACGATAACATCAGCCAATGTGAAGCGAAGTTTAGTACTGAGGGAATGGGGTTTTAGTACTGAGGGGTTGGGGTGTTTAGGGCTTTAGAACTGAGGAAATGGGATGTGTATGGCAGGAGCAAATGTATAGTTTAGTATTGAGTGCATGGGATACACACACACACACTACCAGCCATACCGGCAGCTAGTAAAAACAGACAACCTTCCACAAGTGTGATGTGTGGGCGATGGTGTGTGTGGCCTGGTTGCAAGGTGCTGTTTAGATTTTGTGGGCGTATGCTCAGGTGGTAAGAAAACGTTGGACGATAATCGAATAGCTGTAGTCATATAGGCCCAACGACGTTCTAGGACTTGCCGCGTATTGTCAATCATATTCAGACATACGATTATGATTGTATCCACGGTGCGAAACCCTAAGCCCTAAAACCCACCCTCGACAAGCCCTATAAAACCGTAAAACTAACCCCTGGACAATCCCACTCACCACCCATTGCACACACACACACACACATACATACATACACACGCATACACATACATATATATACACAAACACACCTCCAAGAGATGACTGGCCACAGGGACGTGTCCGTGCGTGGCTGTGCTGAGTGTGTTGAGTGCCTTGACGCAGTGCAGGCGCATGGGATAGTATCGCGCAGTGGGCACCAGGCGAATAGTACCCACAAGAATCTATGGGAGGGAGAGACCGCGAAACATCAGTAGTAGTAAGGTAATATATTCATGGTAGTAGTAAGGTACTATATTTATGGTAGTAGTAAGGTATTATATTCATGGTAATAGTAAGTTCATGGTAGTAGTAATGTATTATATTCATGTCTGTGGGTGGCAGATACAGTGTGTGATAAGGATGTACGTGTGGTAGTTCAGAACAACACGGGGTGTCTGGGTGACGCAGAAATCCATTGCAAGGCTTGAAGCGTGGTGGCCACAGAAAGGATGGTAGGTGAGGTGGGATGTGATGGATGGGTCATACGGAGTGTGTGTTAAACTACAACAAAACGAGCCTCCATCGACAGACAGTACAAACGGAGATACAGAGACGTATGGGATAGGCTAACGCGATGAATGCGTGTAACTGAGTCGAGCAAGACAGTATGAAATAATTAGGACAGTTGTGTAAATCAATACAACACACAGAAGCCCCCGCAAGAGAGTGCTGGGGCGATGGGATATGCTCGAGCAACAAGGTATATATACATCCACACCCAGATATATAGACATTATAATGTGTGTACTCACACCAGAACACATATAGACGTATACACCCAGAATACAAATATCTGCGGACTCGCTGATAGCGTTACTCCTAGGGATATACATCTCTCGTGCTTGGTAGTACAGGTCCATGTGGCATCGTGTAGACATAGACCAGCGTCCCCATTCGCAGACACGCACATACAACGTATAAACACACACATTACTATTGCAAGGTGTGCGTATATGCCTATCTGGCCACATGCGTACCTGAGTCATGAGGCATACACCGTATAAACACACATTAATATTGCAAGGCGTATGTATACGTACCTGAGTCAACGGGTATACTAGCATGCTGAGGGGGTTCTCCTTGTCGTTGGTGTTGTATGTTTCGTTGATGACCCTGGCCCATGCATTGAGACAGCGCATGTACTGCCAGTTGTAGATACTCGCATACGACTCCTGTGGGATGGATAGAAACGGGCGGGTGAGTGTAGATATAACTTGCATTTTATGATATTGTGTCTTTTGAGTTGTATGATATATATATATATATATATATATAATATATCTAACGGTACACGTATAGTATACGATGGCTATAATACTATGTGTATGTGAACAGCTACATTCAAGCTTATTTTTATGATAGTAATCATACGATAATTAGAATAGTATAGAATGACTGCTAACTTATTGTAATCTGATTATGTTATCTATTGTGTACTAAACAACAATGGGAAGGTATTGGAATTGGATGCAACAAAACGAGACGAAAGCGTACGCACATTTTCTCATTTTGCGTTCGATCTTTACAACAAAATTAATGCCTAGCATGTTCATCCTATATATATATATATACATTTCTGTGTGCGTGTATTTACAAACAACCCATACCCACGTACCTTCTTCTTGGACGTTATCGCTGTGCGGAGGTGCATGCCCAGCTGGCGGATGTATGTGAAGGCTATCCGATACGACATATGACAATCCAACGAACATATCTCTACCACACAGTTCTCCATGAACACCACTGTGGGGTATGTTTGCTCACTCACAAACTTGGCGTGGGCCACGTGACTGACGTACATGCCTGCAATACAGACATTACGACCAGACGAAGATGAGAGTGGGGTGAGGTTATATGAAAGTACAGACGTTATAACCAGACGAAGATGTGAGTGATGTGAGGTTATATGAATGTACCAACATTACAACCAGATGCACAGGTGAGTATTCTGATGTGATATAGAAATACATATATATCAACGGATGCAGGTGAAAGTATGTGATGTGCATGTACATGCGTTTGTGCCAACCAGTGCGTATGTGCTAGTGTGCATGTAATTAAAGGCCATGAGAAATACGTTCCAGACCAAAATAACAGTGTGGGAAATATTTGCATACGGTCCTTTTTCTCTTTGTACGATACAGGAAAAATTGCGTTTATCTATATACGTTTCACTCTATACATTTATCTATATACGTTTCCTTATATAAATTTATCTATATACGTTTACCATGAAGCATTAATCTATATACGTTTATCTAGGTACGATACCAATGAAAATACATTTCTCTATGCGTTATGAATGGTAGAAGTACAAGTAAAAGTAGTGTTCTCTCATGTACGCTACAGTTGAACATGCTATTCTCGTATTTACGTCAAGACAAAACATACTTCCCCTTTACGTAAGATATAGATACCCACACGTTTTCTGCATCCACTAAAACCCTAAACCTTCCGATAAACACGTTTCTCTCGAATATTTTCTCACCTTTTATGCACATTTCCAGAAATGCGTTACTGGACGAGAGCGCCAAATCACGGATCACAAGGAAAGCCCGCACTCGTACATGGTTCTCCCCCTATGAATGTAAGCAACAAGTATAAAGAATCAGTAAATCAACCGACAATTCTTGATATTATGTCGACGTACACCAAGGAACCAGGGCTGTCCCATGGAGCTCAAACGTTTGAGTCACAGTGACCATGACAGTACTGAATTCAGTCACCTACAATGTCAACAGAACAATACATATACAAAGACAAAACACATATGTATCTATAATATAATGTAATATAATAATATATATATATATATGTGTGTGTGATTTTGTATGTCAGATACTTTACAGCCACAAACATCCACACATTATACACCATACCTCCGCCCACAATTCCAGGCACTTCGTCAGAAGACTCTTTCCGAACTTCGGGAACGCAGCCACATATCTCGCTGTACCATCGCCACTGAGTGTGCGCAGTACCACAGCCTGCATCTCCGAAGCTCGGGATGCGGTCAGTAGGTAGATGACACTGGATATAAAACTTTTAACCAGGTTTTTCACCTTGGTCCACTTCTTGGCGCGCTGTGGTTGTTGGCGTTTCTTACTGCGCCGGGACCCAGGGATTGATTTGGGTCGACCTCTGCTGTCCAATTCGCGCGCCTGAAAACACGGTAATATCAGGATTTGTGGGTATATTTAGAATTGTAGGTATTATTAGGATTGGTAGGTATTAATAGGATTTGTGGGTATATTTAGAATTGAAGGTAGTATTAGGATTTGTAGGTATTTTTTAGAATCTTTACTATTCGGATTGGGATTTGTAGGTATTGCTAAGATTTGTAGTAGATATTCATAGGCTTGGAAATTGTAAGTATTACTAGTATGCTTAGGTATTATTAGGATTCGTAGGGATTATTTAGGATTAAGGTTAGGATATATAGGTATTGTTCCGATTTGTAGGTAGAAATGGGATTTGTGGGTATATTGAGAATTAATCCGATCCATATACTTAGAATCTGTGTATCGTCACTCCATGCTTTATTTGCGATGCCACTAACCACAACCCTATATTTGCGATGCCACTAACATATTCGCGCGGACATGCCCATAACATATAGATTGTTGTGGATGAAAACACATTTCCTATGATATATATAAAACACATTACATACAACATATAGAACGTATTACATATAACCTATTCTAAACATACTACATACAGCATATATACGACACCTGTCACACGCGCCTGCACATACCTTACATACCTTGGGCAACTCTGTGGGGGGTGCAGTGGTGGTGTCCGTGACATCGAGGTACTTGTTGAGTGTAGTAATGACACGCCTGAGCGCCAATGAGATGGTTGCTGTGTGCACTGAGCTGTCAATGATGAATGTGTACTGTGGCCCTGTCTCGTGCTTGTTCCGCCTGCGGCGCTTCTTGTTCTTGTTCTTTGCGTTGCTGCTGCCGTCTGTGGGGCCGAAGTACGGGCGGGTTGAGCAGTCGAATGAGTATGGAAAGTACGTTCTGGTGGAGTGGGTGATACATACAAGATGGTTCTAGGGATCTAGGGATTTAGGGTATAGTACTAGTGTGGTGTGAAAGGGTCCCAACTGCTTTAGGGGTTTAGAGATTTAGAGTTTTGCTGTACATGTAAGTGTGCGGGTGCACATCAACAGATGCTTTCCATGATTCACGTCGGCGTGCACAAACTGAGCGTGAAACTAGGGACTTACAAGAAATGGGGTCTAAATAAGGTTCATGAGCCCTAAAAACTACAAAACCTTTAATCGAGATAGCTTTTATTTACCATAATTTATGGGTCCATTCCAAAAATTTCTTCCTCACACTTTGCAACACATATGTGCTACTGTACACACAAGGGCACCTATCAGCACATCAGCACTCACGAGACAAGCATATACAAAAACAGGACACCATGTCACATCTTGAAAATCACGAACACACTCATATTTAAATGTATATATATATATATATATACCCGACACACCCCAACCACCCAGTACACGCACACACCTTCCTCGTTCAGCGCTTCTCCAGACCGAACCGCCGCTGCGAACGCAGCCACCAACTGCTTCAACGCCCTGAGCACCACCGCCTCATCCTTGTCACTCAGCTGTGTGTTCCATTCTTTAACTAGCTCTCGTGTCACCTCTTTGTTCTTCTGTGTGGTGTCGTTGTCATTCTCGTCAGACTGTGCGTCACTATGGGCGTCGCTGCCGCTGTCGCCGTTCATCTCGGCGAGGGCGCGCGCTGTTAAATAACGTTTCGAAAATATAATATTTAGTGATGTATTTTTATAAATATATATATGTATTTGTGCATATAAACATACTGCATACTAGCAAAAAAAAAGGCGGGGATACGGCCCATGTGTGGATATAGGCGACATTTCTCTAATATCTATAGCAACAAGGAACATTTGATATGAATAAAACTATAAAACTATATATATACATACATACATACATACATATATATATTCAATAGCACACACCTTCGGCTTCCGAATCGTCGCTGTCTCCAAAGTCTGCGTCTGCTTGGCCCTGATCGCTGTCATTGTCGCTTGCACTGTTGTCCCCATCTTCGCTCTCACTATCGCCTTCCTCACCAGATCCGTTGTCCGCTCCAAAATCCAATAAATCAGGATTTTCTTTGCTCAAAAAATCGTGGAATTTAGGATCGGCTTTGGCCAGGGCCTTCATTTGTTCTTTCAGGTTTTCTTCAGAGTCCAGCTCATCGTCTTCATCGTCGTCACCAAATTCCATCTCCTCTGCAGAGTCCTCTCCATCCTATGAACACACAATGTTTGTCATAGTTTAGTCATACACTTTCCACATCGCTTTAGCTATGGTTGGCCAAGCGCCGATCGTCTATATACAGTAGAACCCGCGGGTAAGGTGTGTAACACAAACATGCACGCAAATAGTAATAAAAAAGTACGTAACTAAAAGGTTACTCATTGTGGTGTGGGCAGATATGGGTTAAATCCAGTGTCATCTGTATACACAGCTGTACCTTTTCATTTGTGGTACTCTTGATATTCCAGTATCTATGCATGTCGTATGTTAGTCTCTTGTGGAAGTGAAAGCGGGCAAATTCATAGGATTTTTACATGATTATATATATCTAGTATATGCTCCACGCAAACACACACACACACACACATATATAGATATAGATACATACATACATATATATATATAAATATGATTATGTATACGTGGCATCACTGTCCGCGCATTTCTATATGACAAGACAACACTCTTTATACCCCAAAAAAGACATACAGCCTTGGACTCTGATACACACACTGAATACCGACCACACATACAACCACGCACACAACAGTATAGCCTAATACACAATAGTATATAACTACTACCTTAATACGTTGACAGACACCATCTCAGATAGACACATTTAATTTAGCTTTGCCAAATCAAACGGACACCCTCAATATATATGTATACACGTACAAATACGTTCCTAAGACGCGTATTATCTAGAACCAAACAGGCCTGGCATGAATGCTATTTCGTACAGTACAAACAAAGTTTTAATCGGAGTCGTATTACGCCTATAGACACATTAATTAATTCACAACTATATGTGCATGGGATACAATTTTGACATCACATCTTATATATATATATATGCACAACGTTGCTGGCCATTCATCTCTCATTGTTATATAATAATTACATCCAAATACGTAATCTAGTCCTCCATATCGTATCCATTTTATATCCTATATTATCGATATAAACTATATGTACTTACATAAAGTGCGTATATGCTTGTTTACAATGCTATGCCTATATCACAATTTTGCAGCTAACATAAACATTGCGCGGAAACAAAGTCTATACTTAAAAATACTTGCACATGTATACAACAATGAAAATTCACCAGGTGTCTGATTGAAGTAAAAATAATAATACAGTACACACACATCTATATATATATATAGATAAATTTATGTACATGTATATATATAACATATTTCACTATATATATATATAGTACTTTAATATATTGAATTAAATTGATAAATGCATGTCTATATATATGAATATAATATATATATATATATNTATATATACATATNTATATATATATATATATATATAACTAGTTGAATATATATTATATATATATATATATATATATATATAGTATA